AGGATCCAAAGTACACGTTCCGGTAAATTTGGATTAATGCGCATGGTGAACTCGAGTTTGTCAGCGCCGTGATGTACACCTATGAAAAGATTTTCCGCGACCTGTAACGCATTGGCCGCGAACACGGACGAACACCATAACGGTACAACGATAATGAGTCATTAATGTGCGAGATACTTGCACACGGCCGGGAGGCTTCGTTCTGTGGAATGCAAGCGCACGGATTGATTATCTCGAGCTGTTACAGTCACCTGCAGGCGTATACGATGTTTATAACTCGTACGTGACTGGCATACGTGTAAGCATTACGCCAAAGGTAATTAGGGATGTCGGAATGAGGAATTATCCAAGACAAATATTTATGTCGTCGATAAAATTCGCGAGATCACGTTCATCTAACGACTGACGCGCGATTCACCAGATCTTATTCCACCGGTATATCGTCAAGTTTAGATATTTTTGTCCGATTCATTTCTAGTTATGCATTTTTTATACAATTATACACGTTGCACAAGTTTAAAAAACTTCTCGCATTTCTCGAGTAATTCGATTTCAAACGAACATAACCTTCTTGACCGTTAACCTCTCAATTTTTCTTACATTCCAATACATCAACAGCTGTGCACAGTACTTTATACTTCTTTATCTTTATATTTCCACAATCTTCCACCTACGCGATCATCTCGCAAACTCTCAATTACACACACATCAACTCTCAGCATGCAATCAGTAAATTCATTGCACAGATATCCCATTCCGTCTAACAATCCAGAAACTAATGCGCGTTTTCTCGCTTCGAGACTAACGATCCCGTGATCGAGCAAAAACCACTTCAAGCACCTCTTTTACCACGTACCACCATCGTACCACCTAACCTCCATACTGGTGTTCGTTAATTTCGATCGACCGGTGAGAAGTTGGTTCACGGTCGATAAAATACATCGAAAGGGAAAGAGGGACGAGTAGAGGCAGCGTAAACGGGCGGGAAAAACGAAAAGGAACGCAGTTAACTTTCGAAATTTATGCGACGCGTTGTCTCATTATCGGCATACGAACAAATGAAAATCATCGCCATTCATCGTAGTGTGGACGTGGGATTTCTTATAAGCGTGTCAAACATATTTATATCGATAAATTCAGTATGGAAGTACGTACGTATACTCACATATACTGTTTCAATACTACATTCTCATTACATTACATTCTTTTATTATCCGTATTACTTTAATACGTTAAGATAAAGTCTTAATTTATCGTGTATCTCCAACAAATCAAAAAAAAAAACATCTTAACACGATTCATTTTTATAAAAGGTACGAAAAATTTTTAAATTTTATTTGCAAAGATATTTACTTTCGTATCGGTTCTTTTTTCATTTTTTGTAAATCGAATATCATCCATTGTTTTTCACGCGTTAGAGAATCTTTGTTGTAAAGAAAACATTTCCATTAACGGAAGTGAAGAAGCGAATCTCTCGTGGGGCGCGAGCACGCGTCACGATTTCAAACAGCGCGAAATTACAAAGCGGCCACGTCCGTGACGGGCGAAATTAAAAATTGAATTCCTGAGTCGGAGTAGGGGGGAGGTCGCTTTAACGCGAGAACGCGTCCCGACGGCCGCGTTTCCGGTGCGGTGCAATGCGCTTCCTCTGAGCGAGAGACCACGTCGCTCGCGCGGTTTTAATTAACCAAATTCTCCTCTACGTTTTTGTGACCGCGACTGTAGGCAATAAACATGTGGAAGTCGCGTAACATCGCAACAGGAAGCTCGGCTGTGCGCGCCGCGAATTTATGCGCGCGCCGCTGCAAAGGAAATGTAGCCTAATTCGTTGTTAATGCGCGCCAATTTCAAAAAGAGAAAGTTCAAGTTCAATCTAACTAACATTTTCTACTATGTATTAAATGTCACAAAAATATTGTCTGCTCAACGGATAATTAATTATTTATATTATATTATATTTTATACAAGAATGAAATAATTTCGAAAATATATTCAATTACGAAGTAATCCAATATTCGTAAATAATATATGTTAATAATATGTAAATTTATATATATTTTTTCTATACAGAAGAGAATTATTTCTCGAACGTAGGATAAAATAATGATGGAAAGGATAAAAAAAAAATCCAAGAATAAATACAGAATATCGTAATCAGAATAGTCTACGTTAGCAAAAAAATTGCCTAGAATCCAATTCGATCGTGTTGCGGAAATTTTATCGTTCTGCTCGAATCGCTCGCTGTATTAAACATCGGCAAAAAACATTATCTCGCTGCATTGCCATACAATTCTTCCCATTATAAGTCCCTCAACTAGATAACTGCTTGTTTTTATCAATGTTATAAAAAAAGAAAGAAAGAAAGAAAGAAAGAAAGAAAGAGAGAAAATAAAGGAGGAAAAGAGACTGGAACGACGAATAAGAGGCTAGCGGCGAGCATTAGATTAAGATCCTTCGGATTCAACGGATCGAGGATTACAATCTCGAGTACGTGGTTAAAGTATTTTTTACAGGCTCGTTACGGGCGTGCTGGTAATTCGACGACTAAATTGTCCCGGCGAAACAGACTTAAACTGCGTCTAATAGAGAGTCGCCATTACGAACGAATTGCGAGTCCGTCGTTACGGTTAAGAGTGCAAGAGAGCAGTTTCGGTGGCCGAGGGGCGATAATTCGCAAATAGCCCGGTCACAATGAAACGTGCTCGTCCATCCATGAACCAAACCACTCGTACGCCACTCTAGAATCGAGTGCGGTCAATTCGAAGACGAGCTCGAGCGTTTCGACCGGTGACCCGAACCACATCGATCGTGCACATTTTTCCTTCGACCGTTTATTATACTCAAGTGCATACACGTTTCGAAAGCGCTCGTAATTCTTTTTCCGTGAGTGAAAAAAAAAAAAAATCTCTATCTAAAACTCGTGGTAAAAAAATTTGTAAACATGGAGACAAGTCAAACATACATACACACACAATTATCCCGATTCTTGTGGATGTCATTGTTGGACACGCAATGCATAACGTATAATTCGAGTTCGTTACGTTATGACCCGTGTCTTTTAAGCCACGAGATTAAATTCCTTTGGCAGACAGGCCACAAATCCCCCGCCCGTAAAACGCAATCAACATACCAAACAATCAGGCACCATTAACGAACCTAAGCCAACCGATTAAAACGATCCGTTACTCGAGAGCTCGAGGAGAGAGATCGAGCGGATCGAAAAGTGCGCTCGGCTAGGCAAACAACTTCTCCAATTCCTCGAAACTTTCCACGTTCAATTTGCCGCTTGAAAATAATTACCGGGCAATTACGTTCGCGCCTGTCTGCCCGGATCGCGCTTTGTCCAAGCGTTAAATGGCAACTAACCGTGGCCAGGATGACATATACAGGATCGTTCGGAATAAAGACACCTGCCCTCGATCCCGTTTAAAACGAGAGGAAATAAAAGCGGCTGGGGAACGCGTATACAGCGTGCACGTAGTCATTGTAATGGGGCGCGTAGCCGTGCACAAGCCTCGAGGAGGCAGGAATTATTTTCACAAGTTCCGGCCAGCCCTTTGTGGGCCCCTTGCGCGCGCGGGCAGGTGCTCGATCGGTCGTGGATGAATTCTCTTTACGGGCTACCAACCTTCCATTACAGAAAAACGTCTCTATTCAAGAGGCGCGTTTAATCCAGACGCCGGTTTTTTTATCGCGGCTGGAAGCGGCGGATCATTTGTTTTTGCGCGGCGTACCGCTGTTCGGGGACCGGTATTTGCACCGGGCAAAAGTCGATTTCAACAATTTTAACCCGGGTTAAAATCTAGGTTATCTTCAAACACCCATCTTTTCTCGAAATAATACGAAACATTCAATTGTCTAAGAATTTCTCTTGGAAAATAAAACAGATCAATAGATTGATCAAGTGAAATATCGAACTCGCTCGCACAATTTCAGATTTAATTAGTAAAACTCGATCGAATCAATGTGAGAACAAAATTATTTCCTTTTTTTTTTTTTCCCCGCGAGGAGATACTTTCGCGAGATATAACAAAATTACGATAATTTTAAACCCCGCGAGAGAGTTCCAGTTGGCGATGGAAAACAGGTCGACACGATCGGCGAGATCCGTTAATCGGCGCGATTAAAGCACATTAGACGGGAGAAACACACATAACTCGTGTCTATTAAACATTTTTACCTCGCCTAGCTCGAGTGAAATCGTTCGTTCCGCACGATCGATACACAACGGGCCATTAACATTCCCCGCTAATAGCATAGCTAGAGCGAAAGGCCGGCGTTAATAAAATTATCTTAATCTCCCAAGTTCTCGACAGCTACCAGTATTTCTGTGAAACGATCTCCGTGAAAATGTAGTCCCGCCGCATTTGCCGTCCATTACGCCGCTAATTTGTTTCATTTAGGAAACTGATCTTCCACCAATTCCTCGCTGTTTCGTAATTGTGAAACTGATATACACCAGTTTACTGGAAAGCGGACCGATTTGCATACGTGTGTGCGTATACGTGTATAAAGCGTGTATCCGCACGCTTATGTAGCATGAATTGAACCGTAACCTTGTTTAACGCGTTTCAACTTCGCTCGGGTCGTCGGTGGCCAAAGATGTTTATCGATTCGATCGTTTTCATTACGCGCACGAGAATGTTCCTTGGGTTTAATTTTGCCGTCAAGTGGAAGGAATGGGAGAAAAAAATAAAAGAAATTGATATATCATGTGGTGGTAATAATTATAAGCAAATGATTAAGATCAACGAGAAATTATAAAATTTTAATGGACAGTAATAATTGGATAGTGTGAATAGAATGAAAGAAATAACAATAAAAGTTTTGATGAATCTCGGATCTATTTTGTGGATTATTTTCGCGAACACAAAGTAGATATTTGTGCCAATTAAATAATAAACAAGATGAAGAGAGTGATTGCTTCAATGCAGGAAATTGAGAAAAGAATTTTTTAAAGGATATTTGAATACAAACGTATGTAACTGAAGGCACGAATGTTTTTTTTTTTTGTTTCTATATAATCTTAAGAACGCGTATCTTAGAAACGGGAAGTGCTTTCAAGTGTTCACACTTTCGTATACCAAGAATAGACGATCTGTCAAGACCCTATCGTTTACGCATAAACTCCACTTCACAGAGTGGAAACTATGGAAGGGATCTATAAACATTCCCCAGACTAAACACCTACACCACCCACGCGACAACCATGTGTAACTAGTAACAAATGTTTTGAATTATCTTGTAACGTAATCTCCCCTAACAAAAACAATATTCCACGAGGATTTTTGACGAGGGCGAAAAGAACGATCTCACGACATCTCTCTCCTATCTCTTTCTGCATTTTAATAACCTGCAAATCAAACAAATGAAAACCTGTTAACATCCTTCAAGAATAAAATAAAAAGGAAAAAAAAAAAAAACTAGATTCGTAATAAAGAATTATCTTTTTTAAAGTTTTTCCTTTTAGAACGCAATATTTTGTTATTATAAATATCATTATAAATAAATTGAAAATACAAACGTACGATCGGTACAAATGAAACTTTAGAGCATCGCAGAGACGAGAAAATGCAGACGGACGTTACGTGTATTTCATACTTTTTCTTTACGTACGTACCACGTTCCCCTCCCCTGTTTTCGACCATCTAAGATTTTCGCAAGCGCTCGAGCACGCCACGATACGCTTATAAAGCATATTCCCGTCGACGCTGGGCGGGCGCGAGCTTAATACAAATCTAACCGAGCGTAGCCTCGGCTGAGCCAACATAATCAAACTTCTTAGGTTGGCAACTGTCGCGATTTATCTTCTTTTCCACCGGCTCCTCTCTCCTCCGGTTCTCCAGTTTCCGCCGTGTTTCCCGTTCCTTCCCTCACACTCCGGCTTCTTCCCGGCTCCCTCACTCCCCTTATTCACCGGGAATAAAAAACAGCGGCTAAGCAGAACGGTGCCCGAGGTGGAACGGTCGGATAATAAATCGCTCGACGATGTGGCGGCAGGCGATGCCGACAGATGGAGGGGGCGGAAGAGAGATAGCTGGAAAACAGAAGAAAAGGACGTTAAAGCGTGACAAGGAGAAAGGACGGTGCTGGGCCGGGCAAGGAAGAAGGAGGAAAACGATAGGACGGAGAAGAGCGATGTATACGGGAGATCGCAAGTAAGTAACGAGTGGAGAAAAAAGGATGCTCGAGGAAGGTGGAAGAGAACAGGCTCCTCCGGGTCGAGGAGCGACAAAGACCGGCGACGCGGGAGTAAAGTCAGAACGGCAAAAAAAAAAAAGGGGGAGAAGAAGTGAAAGAAAAGGGAAGAAAAATCGTGTGCACGAGAGAAGGATGGAGGAGAGAGAGAGAGAGAGAGAAAGAAAAAAAATCCCAAGTACCTGTATCCTGTTTGTTACAAGGCTCCCAGAGGCACGAAGCGAAGGGGACTCCTCCGGCGAGGAAGGAGCAACGGAGGTAGGTTTAGGCAGCTTTCACACTAAAGCCCGAATTTACGACAAAGGAGGCCCATTAACCCCGTGGCATCTCGCCTCGAAATTGACTTTGCTCCCTACCCGAGTCCTGCGACGACGCGTGTTCCCGTCCCCCTGGCGGGCAGAGATAAAACTACGGTGGAAAGGGAGGGGATACGGAGGAGGGTGAGGGAAGAAGGGTCCCGTCGAGTGAGCGACAAGCACGATGTAGCGTAAAACGAGACGATTAGCGGACGTCCAACGAAACCGAGTCGAATCTTCGATTTCGAAAAGGGAATAAAAGAATTGGACGCGGGACGCGTGTCGCAGCCGATCGTCGCGTAATTTATTCGCGGGGAAGAGGAAACCGCGCGAAAGGTTTATCGAGCAAATGGCGCATAATACTTGCGTATCTCGATCTTCGAGTACGCCGTTGTACGCGTCTCGATGTGTATACGGCCCGCGTACGTGGATATTATGTACACGCAGCGGTGTGCGACGAACGAACGAGAAGCGTTTCTAATTGCCCCCGTGCGCCTGTTTGTTGGGTATAGAGTCGTTCAGATTATGCTAACAGCTCTTTAATCCACGACGGGCCGTCGTATACAAATTCCGCGCCCGGCTTATCGTATTTCATTATTGGCGTTTCTATATTATCGCGGTTATCTGGCGAACGCGCGTCTACGAGTCACGCCGCGCGTAAATACACGGCTCGATAAACGGATCGACACGCTCGCCACGCCGCTATCTGCTTTGCCCTGTCCTTACACGTGCAGATACCGGTCAGGAAACGCGAAAAAGGGACCGGCCGTTCGATGCATTCCCTTTCGCCGACCGGACGAAACCCCGGACGGACCCCGGAGAAACGAGGTCTTCTATCTCTGGGACGGTACACGATGTGTACCGACGATAAACGAGGCGCCGGGATTGCAAAACAAATTCGACGATCGACTCGCGAGAGATAGCCGCGAGTCTTGCCCACCGGAAATGACGAACGGCTTCGAATCGTGGAACGATGAAGACGTCTCGACGACTTGCTCCTCGCGACACCGGTTCTTGCCTTTCTCTTTTTTCCTCCTCTTTCATTGTACCCTTTATTTTGCTTCGTTCTCTTCTCGGGCTCGGCCTCTCTCTGCGTGTAATCTCTTTTCTGAAATTCAGTTAGAGATTAAACGTTGATGATTAAATCGCTGTTCGACGAGTTAATTTAATTCGTTAATCGCGTCTTTCCAGAAATTCTTTTTAGAAGTAAAAAATTGATATATTAATCGGATCTGCGAATCTATATCTGACAATATATATTCTGAATAAACGTAAAACGAGTAGTGACTTACGAATAATAATAATAACGTTGGCAAAAATAACCAACTTTTTTCTCGTCATAATTACGCGTGAAGATTATAAATCTGTAACAGTTTGATTCTCATAATAAATCGTATAAATCGATCCACCATAATTTAATATCGATCGAGATACGATTTAAAATTACTCGCAGTTGCACAATTTTAAAAATATGGGACATATTATCAAAGATATAATCCTACACCGCATCCCAGTTTCCTTTACATCCGGTCACGGATATTTTTGAAAACTCGTTCAAATACAGGGTGTCGATTTTCCAATGCATAATACAAAAGTACCATTATTCCCCTTCGAAATTGGAAACGGGGTTAACGAGTTATTCTTACTTTGTTTTTCGCGCTCTTCGTGTATCTTGCGATATCGCCTTTTTTATTCGCTGATCGGGCGAAAAAAAGCGTCGGGGCCGAAACAGCGATCTTAATTTAGGTGCTTTAAGTAAATTGGCGGATCCCTGATATTGCGCTACGCCACCGGGGGGAGGGGGGGGGCGGGGAATGTCAATTATCGTCCAATTGAAAATGGACGAAACACGATATCGTGCTATTCCCCATTTCCCCATTTCCCCCTCCTCCCCCCCACGGAGCCCTATACTTTTCCCGGATAAATTACGAGGTTTCGGCCAGATTGGCCTTGCGGTCGGATTCCATCGTGAAATAAAAAGGGTCGCGCGGATCGTTCCTACGTGATTCCCTCCTCCGCAAAACCTCATCCACTGTAACCTCTCTCCCTCCCTTTCTCCGGTATTTTCCTCTTATTCGCTCCGACGCGTCCATGTATTAATATCGATTCGAGTAGTTTTCAAGTCGAGTCAGCCATTCCACGAGGAGGAGGAGGAGGAGGAGGAGGAGGAGGAGGAGGAGGAGGAGGAGG